AATCTCAAGCACCACCATTTCGTCTTCAAAATACTTCTCGCGAAGTTCCAGAAACTTTTTAGACGGTGAGTCATTCATCATAAGATTTTTAACCTGCAAATGCTTAAAATTAGGATTCGCCAAACAAACGTTTGTTAAATGTTTGCCGTTTCCGAATGAGAGATGAGTGAGTTCGAAATGATAAATTTGTTCATCCAAAACAAAAAGTAAAGCTCTAGGGGATTCGACAGAACTCACATCAAAGCCAACTTGGAGCGCATTTAGTCCAATTGCTGCCACCACGATGTAAGTGATAAAGAGGAGAATTGCAAGTACTCGAATCCACGAGCTAGTAATGACAGGGGCATAGTATTTTTCAATAAACTGCTTATGCCAAAAAACAAGTGTGCAATAGTCCACCTGTAAAGCTTTCCAGCACATCAAAATCAGACTTGAATGGTTTATCTCCCCATAGTATCGCATGCTTTGTCTTCAATAAGAATGCAATATAATAGAATTTCTCTCGTAAATAATACTAATCTGAAGGACAAATACTTTAATAGTAGTAGAAGAAAACGAAGAGATTGGAGGTTTAGTGTTAATATTAGTTGTCTAAAGTGCCAGCTAGAATTAGTAACAAATATAAAGACAAGTGTCTTATTACATGTATCTCATTACTGGGTCGTTCTATACTTATCGTATCATCATTTCCTCTAGTTATCAGTGAATATTGTTCCATCCCTGTATTGATGTGACATCTTACCTTCACATTGCTGGAGGATTTCTGAAGACATTTTGATAAGTTATTTGCACAACAGCATTTTCTCATATTGAAAATTCGCTGCAGCGCAGAGGAATTTTCTGGAATGGTAGCTAATGGCTAGTCAGCTTTCTTGAGATCATTAAAAAAAAGCGCAGAATCATGGCTTTTGGTGCTAGCCGCCCTACAACCGAACAGAACGAACAAGCACTGGGAGTTAGACTTCTTTTATTACATCAGAGCCGTATCGCAAATCCAATTGCTCCTATGATGTAAATAAAATTTTTTTGAAAAACGCATGTCTTAAAAAGCATCTCAGTAGGCGGGCATTTTTTAACTATTCCTAAAAATAGCAGCTCACTGAACTTTTGTCACTGGCTGGTATTTAAATAACTCAAAACTGTTAATAAAAACTCTTCTGCATTCACTTTGTACAAGAAATGGAGGCATTCGAATGGATGGCCCAGTCTAGTGTTACAAAAGTGTCACAAATTTTTTGAAGCTACAAAAATTTGTTATAAATATTTACAAATAGAAAGAAGACGTCTCCAAATAGTTTTTTCCACTTTTTGACGTCAAAGTTCAAAATTATTATTCGCTGTTGTAGATTGAAAGAGCACTTTTAAACTGATGCGTAAAAATGCTCAAAAAACTCAACCGATGTTACAGGACGAAGTGGTTTTGATATAAAGCAAACTGTTTCGTCCATTCTTCTCCCAGTCTCCGAAAATTGCCAGAAAAGCAACGAAAGCGCTTAACAAATAGCAGAATGTGAAAATTATTGCCGCCGCTGCATAGTAGCAAAAATAAATGACCTATAAGTGAATTTAAAATCAACCAGGATCTTTTTCTAAAAAATCATTTGCAAAAGAAGTCAGGGAAAAAAGGATCTGCAAAAAAGAAATCTAGTTATTGATGGGATGGAATCAATGAAAGCAAGCGAAAGACTGAGGACAAGATTTTTGAGGATAGGAGTATAGGAAACGACAATAAGTGAGGCGAGCGCTTTATGAGGAGCGAACTCACGCGCCCACAGATCCAGAATGCAAACAAACAGGACTAATTACTCTACCAGTTTCAACTTAAAGCAGGGGAGAATTTTACTTTTTTTTACACTAACCTATTTAAATATGAGGGTGATTTTACTGCTTTTTATGAGACCTGTTTAAATATAATAGTTTAAAGCTCTTTGGCACTGAGCTTACGTGTTCTTATTTTAAAGCATTTTATCTGTTCCTGGCTGATTTTTAACAATCTTTTGGCGGACTTTTCTGATCATTTTAGTCAGGTTTTGCGACCTCCACATTAGCTTAATCTGTTGATTTAACATATCTCAATCGTGGCGCTGTCTCATCATTCTTCTCCAGACGTGCAACTACACTCAACGAAATCTCAGTGGGAAAAATTATAACTGACGGCAGGGGAGCTTACAGCAGGCAGAGATGCAGTAGATCCTATAAGGAATGCAGTAGCATCGGTAACTGAAGTGATGGCTATAGATACGGAAGCATGTCGCATTGCTGCTTCAATACGATCTTCCACAGAAAGTTTCCAGTCTGTGCCGTGCCATGCAGCCAACATCAAAAAAGTGTCATCGATACCAACTGCTGCAAAAGCTCGGTTCAGATGCGAAATTCTTTTTTTTAAGGTTTTGGAGAAAATATGAAAAATGAAAGAGTTGTAAAGAATTATTAAAGTTGGTAAGAAATGTTTTCCCACGTAAGCGACTCTTTCCAAACAACGTTGTTTCAATGTTCTTTTTTGCATGTTTCATCAAAATACCTTCCCTCCCTTCTTCTTCCATCGCTCCACTACTGTATTAGTGTTTACAGGTAAGGGATGAAACAGAAACTGCAGATTGACCTGTTGTTTCACTGTATTTCGAAATTTCATCCTTACTGACGCTATATTTCTCCTAGGAATTAGGTTTGTGCTTTAATTTAATAGCTAATTAAGCAGTTAGTAATGGATATGGTGTACACCAGGTACCGATTCTCTCATAATGAAAAATCGGAGATTCGAATTATTAATGAGACACCAATCCCTCTACGATTCGTTCATTCATTTCATGAAAAAATGGCAGCGACGCATGGTATTAAGTCAAAATCACCATGAGCTTGTTGCTCCCGAGCAATATTTGGAAGAAGGAGCCACTGAAAGCCCTGCCAGCAGTTGATAAATAATGGGTTATACCATACGGGCTAATTCCGAGTGCCTCACGCTTTCATGGATTGAATAGGAAAGGGCTTGCTTTTGACTAACAACGGCCCAACTTGATATCAGTATTTAACTCGGCACTTTTCTATGCGTTTATGCAAATTGCAATAACGTGTATTGGCAAGAGGCTGTCTGTGTGTTCGCACTTTTTGTCACCCACATTCAACCCAAGAACCTGAAAAACTAGAAGGCTGAAATTTTGGGAGTATATGCCCATGTCATGCGCGACCTTCCGGTTTTAATATCATCGTCAGCTTACGCCTAGGTGACGCGAACGGACGTCTTAAAAAGTGTGCAAATTTTTTGGCGGGGAAGCGATCTTAGGAAACCAAACGAGCGAAGGGGCTGAAAATTTGCAAAAATATTTCCTTTGCATGTGTGAGCTAAAGATTTCAAAGTCGGCCTCAGGTATGCGTGGCGCTCACGTAAGAGCGTGTGAAAGTTTTGACGGAAAAATTACTAACTCGGGAAGCAGAAAAGCTTGAAATCTGAAATTTCGGGCGGAGGGGGGAGGGATACACTCTATCCAAGTACAACATAAATTTTCAGATTCAGCCACCAGGTATGCGCGGTCCTCACGGGCGAGGGCGTGAAGGATTTAGCAAGAAAACTCGGTAAACCAGGAAAGCTAGAAGGCAGAAATTTCGGGGGATGTTCCCTGTTCACGTACGATTGAAAGATTTCAAACTCAGCTTCGCGAATACGTGAAGTACCCACGCACGGGCGTGTGAAAGTTTTGGCGGGAAAATTCTAACTCGAAAACCAAAAAAGTCAAAAAGCTGAAATTTTAGAGGAATACCCTCTGCCCAAATACAACTTAAATATTTCAAATTCAGTCTTCAGGTATGCGTGGTTTTGACGTATGGGCAATTAAAAGTTTTGGCGGAAAAATTACTCACTGAAAAACTAGGTTACTTTCAAAGAACGGCCACTAAATGAAAATTGCTCATTTACTTTATGCAAAATTTATGGTGATTTACACTAGTGAGCGTAAAAGGTTACTCGTAAAAAGCTAGGTTACTTTCAAAGAACGAGCAACAATCATTCATGTACTTAACGACCTAAGTATTTCAAGTGGGCATCATGTGCAGCGAACTCATTCTCCCACTACATATCCGAGCAATTTGTGATGTGTAGCTGAACCAATCCAACCAACTGTTCTATTCCCCATAGAATGACATAAATTATTAAGGAGCTGGATTAAGGGCTTTATCCGGGAAACTCGTGAATTTGCTTTCTTGACCTGCATTTGAATGGACGTAAAGTATGCACATACTTAGACATAGGAAAGGCATCATGGTAGCGATATCGACAAATGGAACATCGAGCAGCAGAAGGAAGCCAGTTGCCGAAATAATAGCTGACAATGTGACAAATACGCCAGTAATTCCAACCAATGGCTTGGATGAAACCCAATCAACAAAGACCAACGAAATACCCTTATTCGGGATTGCCATAAACGCTGTGTTAAATGTGCAAATCACTGAGAAGACCACCAATAATAGGAAGGTAACAGCGAACCTGAACTGAACAGATTCTTAACAATTACACTGCTACATTTATGGGATACATACGACGTAATGAACCAAATATTCCTGTTCGTTTAATTATTTCTTTGTATATATTTTTTATATTTCATTTATACCATCATTTATATCTGTGTTCCATGGATGCAAATACTTTAATCGCGCCTCGTCTAAGACGTATTAACTGTAAGCTCTGGACGTAGAATCGTGCGCATAAACACATTACAACCTTGGCGCAATGAGACGGCTTCCTCTGGCAAGCTCCTCTTCGAAAGTGTCCGAGTGAAAAATGTACAAATTCAATAATTCCGCCGGCGTTGTGTTTTGTTTTATTCGTTGGCTGAGTGCTGATTCATAGTTCCTGTAATTAATTCAGCTCCAGCACTTCATCTAATATTCTGGCCCAACTTTGCGAAATGAATGAGAGTTAGAAGCAGATGAATTCCAAGCCAGTGGCTAGGGGGCAAGACATCTGAGAACTGATTTCAGATTTTTGGCCATTTGCCCAGACAAGAACATTTTTTCAAAGTTTCAAGTTTGCAATTTTAGGCCTGATTCAAGTAAATCTTATAACCAGTGGTTTTGGAGTCATGAGATTTACCCGAACTTAGGTCCTGAGTTAATGACTTCAGAATAGAGAAGGACCTGAGAGCGATTTCAAAAGCTCGAATGCAATTTAAATTTTTTTCCGGTAGAATTTCTTTTTTTTCCACACCAGAAAAGTTCATCATCAAACCAAAGTATTCCAATATTGGTGTAGCCACATTTGTTGGGAAAAAATCCAAGCTCCTCTCCTAAAATGGCCAAGCTTGCTTTGACCAGTCCACTCTCAGGCAAGCAAACGAACAGGCTTAGTTTTTGAGTGAGCCCATTGCTCTGCTGCAGTTGGTAGAAAATAATCCAGGCTTTCGCG